AGGCATTCTTTTAGGGATGGTCTGTTGTTGATAAATTTCCTTAAGTTTTTCATTTTGTGAGAATGTCATTATTTACCCTTCATTCCTGTAGAATATTTTCTCTTGATATAAAATTCTGGATTGACAGTTCTCTTCTTTCAGCACTTGGGAAATGTCTTACACTTCCTTCTGGCCTTTATAGTTTCAAATGAGGGATCTTTTTATTTGAATTGTCATTGCTTGTAGATAATGTCTCATTTTTGTTTTCTAGTTTCTTTCATAATTTTTACTTTGTGTTTAGATTTCAGTATTTTGATTTTGATGTGTCTTAGGGTAGATTTGTTTGAATTCATTTTGTTTGATATTCACTTATTTGTGATTTTGCTTTTGCCAAATTTGTAAAAGTTTCAGCTAATATTCTTCAAATATTTTATCATCCTAAAATTCTTTTCTCTTTTAGAGACTATAGCAAAATGAATGTTACATTGTTTTTTCTTGTCCCTCAAGTTTCTGAGGGTCTGGTCTTTTTTTTTTTCCCCACTCTGTTTTCTCAGTAATGTTCATATTGGGTATTTTCTGTTGATCTGTCTTGAAGTTCATTGATTCTTTTCTTTCTCATCTTCATTCTTCTATTGATCCCATCCAGTAAATTTTTATTTGTTTCTGTATTTTTCAGTTACATAATTTTCATTCTATTTCTTTGCTGAAATACCCAATTTTTTTCCAATTTTCTTTTTAACAGCCTTCATAATAAATGGTTCGCTGAAGCATTTCTCTGATGGCTCCTTTTAAATTTTGGCAGATAATTCCAACGTCTGAGTCATCTCAGTGTTGACATGTTAATTGTCTTTTCTCATTCTCGTTGAAATGTTTCTAGCTCTTGGTATGATGAGTGATTTTTGCTAGAATGTTGGACATTTGGGGCATTACTTTGGATCATATTTAATCTTCTTGTAGCAGAGTCACCCTGGTAGCATACAGCTCCTGTCCTACTTTTGTGGTTTGTGGTTCTAATTGTTATTTGGTTTTCTTAACTTTTCATTGTTATTCTAGTCTTCTTCTTGTGGGGGGGGGAATGTGTGTGGGGGGTGTCATCCAGAGATCTGTCTGAAAATTATGCATATATTTCACATCGGAGTTAAGTTCTTATAACTTTTGCCCTTCTAATTTTGGTCAGTTTCAGCTGTAGTTTATTGAGGATGTTTGCCCAGGATTTCATTTCAAGGTTTAACAGTTGCTTTTTCCATCTACCTCCTCTCCCAAATCCTCCTCCTCTTCTCTGTTTGGGAGATGCCACTTGCTAGAGCTGTGTGGTGGTAGTGGTAGAAGTCCAGACGTCCCCCTCAGCTTCTGCTAAGACAGTTTTTCCCATTATGGGAAGCTGAGCACTGCCTGATACCAGCAGACCAAACTGGAAGTTCAGACTATGTTCTCTGCTTCTGCTTAACACCACTCTGAAGGAGACATTATGCACTATTTGGTACTTGTTTGGAAGGGGCTAGAAGAGCAGGCTTTCCACTTGCTGCCTGTTACCACCAGGTGGCACATGGGACGGCAGGTTCCCCACTAGATTTCCATGGGTGCGACAAGAGAAGGGCTCCGTTTTTTCCATCAGGTTTGGTATCGTCAATAAGGTTTCTATCTTGCAAGCTATCTTGCAAGGACCCTTTTTCTGGTCCTTTTCCTAGAGAAAACAGGCTTTCTCTGGACTCATTTTTATTGGCATTTCTAGCTTACAGAATTTTTCATTACCCAGTTTATGGTATATGGGAGGTGAAAAGAAAACCCAAGATATAGAGGTCAGAAATAAACCCCTACATACATGGTCAATTGATTTTCAACAAAGTAGCCAGGAGCATTCAATGAGGAAAGAATAGTTTCTTCAAGACAATGTGCTCAGACAACTGGATATCCACATGCAAAAGAATGATGTTGCACCCCTATCTAAGTATATACCTACCATATACAAAAATAAACTCAAAAAGGATGAAAGATCTACATATAAAAGCTAAAACTATAATTCTTAGGTGTGTCACCAAAAGCATAAGCAACAAAAGAAAAAAAAATTGAGCTTTGTTTAAAAACTTTTGTGCATCAATGGATACTATGAAGAAAATGAAAAGACAGCCTACAGAATGGGAGAAAATATTTGCAAATCATACATCTGGTAAGTTACTAGTGTCTAGAATATATAAAGAACTCTAACAACCCAATAAAAAATGGGCAAAGGACTTGATTAGACATTTCTCCAAAGATTTACAAATGGCCAGCACTCATGAAAAGATTCTCAACCTCATTAGTAATTATGGAAATGCAAATCAAAACCACAATGAAGTACTACTTTACAACCAGTGGTATGACTTTAGTTAAAAGAACAGAAAATAACAAATGTTGGCATGGAGAAACTGTAACCCCTGTGCGTTTCTAGTGGGGATGTAAAATGATGCAGCTGCTGTGGAAAGGAGTTTAGTGGTTCTTCAAGAAGTTAAATATAGAATTGCCATATTATGCATCAATTCCTTTTCTATGTATATATTCGAAAGAATTGAAAACAGAGACACAAACAGATACTTATATGCCAGTGTTCATGACAACATTATTCATAATAGCCAAAAGGTAGAAACAACCCAAATGTTCATCAACTGATAAACAAAATGTAGTCTATCTATACAATGGAATATTATTCAGCCTTAAAAGGGAATGAAGTACTGATACATGCTACAACATGGGTGAACCTTGAAAACATACTAACTGTGTAAGAAGCCTGACACACAAGGTCATATATCATGTGGTTCTATTTAAATGAGATATCCAAAATAGGTAAATCCTTAAAGACAGAAAGCAGATCAGTGGTTGTCAGGGCATGAAGGAGTGGAGAATGGAGACTACTTAATGGGAGTGGTATTCTGGTGTAATGAAAATGTTTTGGATATAGGTAGAGGTGATAGTTGTCCAACATTGTGAATATACTAAGTGCCACTGAATTGCATACTTTAAAATGGTTAATTTTATGTTATGTGGTTTTCACCTCAATGAAAAGAAAAGGAAAGAAAACTCAAGAAGTTCTATAGTCAGGAAGCTGCCTTCTTTCCATCTTTCAGAGTTTTAAAATTTTTTATCTGTTTTAGTATGTCCAGGGTTTTTAGTTACATTTAACTGGTGGTATAGCAAGAGATAAGTCTTGTCTTTAGAACAGTATGTTAGACGTACCGAAGTAACTTTTTAAAAAGAGTAAAGCATGGCCGGCCCGGTGGTGCACTGCTACAGTGTGCCGCTTGGGAAGCGTGGTGGCGCACCCACCGAGGGTTCGGATCCCACATACAGACCGGCCGCTCACTGGCTGAGCAAGGTGCGGGGGCAACACTGAAGGTTGCGATCCCGTTACCGGTCCCGGTCCGGTACGGGCGCGACACTGAGGGTTGCGATCTGTTGCTGGTCACGAAAAAAGACAAAAAAAAAAAAAAAGAGTAAAGCTTGGTCTCCTTCCTAGACCAATTTAATCAGAATGGGAGAGGGGTGAGGGAGGTGGATTGCATCAGTATAAAAAATATCTGCAAGTGATTTGAATGCAGACAATTTTGAGAAGCACTGTTTGAAGCACATACTTCCTATCGTTGATGAGTTTTGCAAACAGCCATTTGACCCAGTTCTGGTAAATAAGATGTGAAGGGAAGCTCTTTGTAAGGTAACTTTACAAGGAAGGTTGTTCTTCTGAACACTGTCATGTATGGGTATGAATCTTGGAATTGCTGTGGCCATATTGCTAAAGGTGCACAAATACAGATAATACTTGGAATGCAGATGAGAGAAACAGAAAGAAACCTGATCCTTGGTTATGTCTCTCATCTGCTGAGTTAGCTGTCTCTGGAATCTATTGTACCTCTGTACTTTCCATTATATATAAAGAATATGTCCTTATTATTTCAGCTCTGAGTTTGGATTATGACTTGTAGTTGGAAGCTTCCAAACTGCTATAGCTAATGAGAAGAAAAATTAGTGGTAAAAATACTTATTACCATGTTTTTCTAATACATATCTTTTATAAGTAATATGGCAATGAACATATTGGTAAGTATAGTTATTTCCCCCAATATTGGCTTTTGTTTGGTACTCATGTTAGGATGCCGGAAATAGTTGATACTGTTATGCTCTTACTTAATATCTCCAAATTGCTTTCCTAACAGGTTATGTCTATCTACAATGTTATCAGCAATAAGTATTTTTTTATCTTAATCATTGGATTTTATTTTTTGGATTATTGATTGCTCATGGCATGTCATAATTTCCCATTTTTATTTCTTTATTACTGAACGTGTTGATTCTCTGTTTTTACTCATTAGTTATATTTGTTTGGGGGGTAATTAGCTAACATATGTTTTGTACCACAATTTAGTAGCTGTGGAATTTGGAGAAGTTACAGTTACTTTTACTAAAACAGGGGTATAAGAAATAATGCCTACATGATAGAATTGGTATGACATTAAAGTGAGGTATATTTCCTAAACTTCTCTGAGTATTTTTGTAAAGAAAATATTAATCCTTTTTCAAATTTGCTACAAATAATTTTTACCATCTTTAAGAGTTTCTCTTTTTCGTGGCATTATTTATTTTAAACAAAATTATATTTTAAGTTGTGTTCAGTCAAATATTACACTTTCCATTCCAGTCATAATTTAAATATAAGAATAAAAGGTATAAAAATAATGATATGGTTGTATATGTGAATTAATGTGGCAACAATATGAAATAGCAAAAATACCATGGTAATAGCCTGAAGGCAGAAATTTCAGTCATAGGTATTTTTATATCTTCATGTTTATTATATCCTCCTTGAACCAGTTTGCATAAGGTCAGATTGTTTTTCAAAAGTACTCTGTCACATCTGAAGTCTTTATTCTCAACCAAGTCATTGTTGTATCAACAGTTGCCAATTTAATAGAAGAGGACAAAAAAATTGACCAGTTTAATAAGTGTGAAGTGTGTAGCCTATTAAAGTTGATTTTATTTTATTTTTCTTCCAGAAACATGATCAGGGGCAAGTTCTATTGGATATAGTCTACAAGCATCTTGATTTGACTGAGCGAGACTATTTTGGCTTACAATTGGCTGATGATTCCACAGATAATCCGGTAAGTTTAAGCTGTTGCCTTTTATTTTCATTTTAGTTTTTCTCTCTGTTCATAATATAAAATCCTTTCTGATTTATAATGTGCACTAATTTAATGAATTTTTTTATTTGAATTGAGTAATTCTTTTGCCTTTGTTCACTGTTTTTTTGATGTTTTAATCTGTCAAAGTTATTGCCTTTAAGGTTTTCATAATTGTTATGTTAGCCTATAAATCTAGTGCCAGTTTCATTAATTATTTGTCTCAGAAAACTGAAAAATAAATCTAATTCCTGCTTCTTGACTTAGGGAAAACTAGGCATAAAGTTTAAAATATCTTGAGACGTGTAAATTAGTCTACACTAAAGTGAATTTTTGTGTGTGTGTGGTATTCATGGAGAGATATTTCTAACCAAAATTCTTAATTTGTTCAGTGTAAGTTCTTCAAATACAAGTATTCAAAAGGACCCTCCATCCCAAATGGATAAAGATTGAATTTCAAAGCTGCACAATTTTTAATGTTAAGTTCCTTGTATTTTTACTTATTCTTCAGTAATTAGAATCATATTTTTTAATTGAAAAGATCACATCATAGAAATAGAAGATAGCATGTGATAGATAATAGAAAGATTTACTTTGATAATTAAGCAATATAAAATGCACTAAAGAAGTATAACAGTATGAACCTAAATGGAGGGTGTACTAGCAAATTCAGATTGAATTCTTTTTAAATTTATATGGTTATACCGTGAGGGACTTTTACAAAAAAATTTGATATCCTTTTGATTAGTGTAAGAGAATGTCCATTTTGAAGGAAATGTTTTGTTAAGTTTAGAAAAATTATGAGGCTGAAAAATGGTTCTCTGGATCAGTGTTTTAGAAATCCATTTATAAGGCTATATTAACAGAATGACTAGAAAATGCACATAACATTTATGAGAAACGTAGGTGTTTCTCTCTCTCAGGGTTGGGATCCTAGTTCTCTGAATGAAAAGTTAGTGGGAAGTAAATATGAAATGTAAATTACTACTACTTTTTTTCTTTGCATCATTTGCTTTTTCTTATATTACAAACCATCCAAGGAAAAATATGAGGATGATGTGGATAAAAACAAACCAAGGACCAGCTAGTCTCAGTTAAAATAAATGCTTTTATACTGAACTAATATTAAAACTTTCCTCATACTTTGATGCCTTTACCAGATGACTTGAGCTTCTCCAAGGGCCTAGAGTTATACTATTATTTTTTGATAAATAAACCCATGTAAAAATGGAAAAGAGTAGAAACGTCAGTAATGCAACCTTTCCCAGAAGGTAAATTCTGAGCCAAGCAAATACCTAGAAGATGTTTGCTACACCTCACTTTGTGCAGCACTGGAAGAAAAAAAACAGTTAATTCTTAGATTATCTTGCTGACCCTCATAGGTCAGATCCTCTAGCTATAGGCCTGGCTTTAGATTGATTGGAGAAATGACAAGACAACTAAAAGAGGAAGAGACCAGCTAGTCACCACCATACTCACTGCCATGAGTATGAAAACCATTGTTCTTATAAAAGTATTCCAGAAGGACTAATATGGAGATCATACATATATTACAAGAGATAAAAATTCTATCACATAAATTTGTATATGAGACATTTGTACTTATACCATATGCATGTGAGGAGGGAGAGGTATTTTGATCTAGGTTGATGTTTTTGCTTTCTCCTACTTTTTCTTACTTTGTGTTTTCTATCTTGAACATTCCTTCTCAAATGAGATATATTCCTATGCCCGAGGATCCAAAGTTTTTGCTTATCCAAAATAATTCTTCCGGAAAAGTTGGAATGATAGAATTTTAAAGACACAAAAGAGGCGTTAGAAATGATCTAATCTAGTCTAACACCTTTATTTTTCATGCAAGGAGGTAAAGTTCGAGCTACTTCCTGGCATTAATGAAACTAGAACCTGGGTTGCCTAACCCCTCATGCCAGTCTACTCCACTGCACTACAATTTCAGTATTTATTCAGAAGAATCTATAAGATGCCAAAATGTGTCCAAAGAAGGACCTTTAAGAGCACAAGCTTGAAAGAAAGAAACAACAATCACAGTAATATGTTGAACTTTCAGAAGAGAACAGAACTGTATTATTAGAGGTGGGAAAGGAAGAGGTAGAGGGGGATCAGCAAGAAATTGGTTAATGGGCACAAGGAATGATTATGTATTGTAATGATGAATATGCTAATTATCCTGATTTGATATCAGGATATCACATATTATACACAAGTATTGATAGTCAGCTGTGTATCCCACAAATATTTATTATCAATTATGTTTCAATTAAAAATTTTTAATTAAAAAAAAGATCACAAATCTTGTTAAGTAGTGTCCAATTTCTAGTTATCAATGTGAAATTATATTCAGGCTTTGAGGATAATTAATGGACTGAAGGAAGAAGATACCATTCTTCAGAAGAGAAAGAAGAAAGGGAGTAACATTTATGAAACATCTATTGTGGACTTATAAATCAACTAAATGTTTTGCATATAATATCATTTAATTTTCATAATATACTTATGATGAAAGTATCATTAAAATCCTTTTAAAGATTAAAAACTGGTGCTTACAAAAGTAACTAATTTGTTTAATGACAGATTAGTTAAGTAGCAGAGAAAGGATTTGAACTCAGATCTGACTCCCAAGCCTGTGCTCTCTGCCATACAAAGATGATGACATAGATGCACAGGATTTACCCCCTAAAAAAGAACATATTTAAGAAAGGAGGTAACCATGCAACAAAGTTATCATCAGTGATCGGAAGGAATTGAGTAAGATTCTAACAGAATTCTCATCTATCTTTAGTTCAGGGTTTTTTAATTTTAAAGCTTAACTATGATATATATATATATATG